AAAAAAAAAAAAAAAAACAAAAACTGCAAGATTCCCAAAAATATATCTTGACACTAGAACCTTCTTTAAGCACTACAGGGACCAAGCAATAAAAAAGCTTTGTTATAGCTCCCTTTTTTTTTTTTTCCTGTGCCTGCTAAGTTACCTTGTTAGGTAGGAACTAACAGGAAAACTAGATGACAGCAATTTCTTTCTCTGACAGTCTTACCTGCAAGATAACGAATGGTCTCAAGTTTGTTAGACTCCATCAGTGTTTTTAAGGAAGCAATTTCAGCATCAATTTTATTACTGGTCTCTGAAATAATACTTTTGGTTTGGGTATCCTGTAGTAAACAAGAGTAAGTAAGAGAACATAATTTTGTCCCTTTTTAAATGGACAAAAAACCATTTACATTAGAAATCCTCATTTATGGGCTAATTGTGATACAAAAGTCTTAGCTGGAGAAACAGTAAAAGTATAGTGGCATAAAAAATAAATTAAAAAGAAAACAGTACAAACTGATGAATCACATTCCTTCTACTTTCGTATTTGGAAATCATCTCTTAGGATTATCACATACTGGGAATATTCTGCTAAAAACCTCATATTTGATACCTAAATATATAAGATGATAAAGTGAGAAACAAAAAATTAAGTCACAGAACTATCATTTTATGTGTGCAAAGTCCTTAAGATATTATGGTTAAAACTTTAAATATATTCTACAAATGAAAAAAAAAATAACCAGATATATGAACTGGCACCAGTATTAAAAGAACTGGAAGAAATACCTGATGGATAACACTGATACATGTATAGGGGACAAAAGGTAGGGAGGAGAGATGAGACCTAGAGCACAGAAAGTAGTTGTAAAAGACTTTGCTGATTTCCTTGCTTATCTCCTTTATCTGGCCAAGAAGTAAGGGAAGAGAATAAGATCTTTGAAAAAACAAATGTGACCTTCTCTTCTATTAAATTATGAGCAAGAGTGACATATTTTCTGTTAGAATGTATACAAATGGCTTTGAACTTTTAAGAAAAGGACAAGGCTGAGTCAGAAAGTGGGGTTTTACTCAAGCCATAGAGATGAAGTCCTGATTACATTGTAGGATTACTGACAAGGAAAGCAGTAGTTCCCAGTTTGGAATTTAGACTACAGGTTCTTTTCCCAGTGCCACCACTTATTGTGTGACCTTAACCTCGTTGTGTCTTATCTTCCAGATTGGTAAAATGGGAATAATAGTGTCTATCTCACAGAGACCAATACAAGTAAAGCACGTAAAATAGTATCTGGCACATTAATAAACACTACATATTTAGTATGTTTTTAAAAATTTTTAAACCTTAAGAAAATTATTTAACTGAACCTAGGTACTCATTTAAGTACCAATGATGAATACCAATAGTGAACCTTTTGTCTTTTAAAAAAATAGTTCTTTTTTTGTTTTTGAGAGTCTTGCTATGTTGCCCAGACTGGTCTTGAACTCCTGCCTCAGCCTCCCAAAGTGCTGAGATCACAGGTGTGAACTACCACACCTGGCCCAAAAAAAGAGTTATTTTCTATTATAGAAATAGTTTAAAAAAGCACACTATGTGGAAGCTTGGTTCTTCAAGGTCAAGGCTTATGAACAATAATCTGGTGCAGGTTCCCTAGAAATGCTGGCTAACTATCAGGAAACCATAGATTCTACAGAATTAGCTTTTTAAAGTCCAAACTTATAAACTGGTACACATAAAAGCAGTTTTACAAGGCATAAGAACTGGATAAAAGAGACATTTTTACGTATTAGCTTACCTTTTTTGTAAATTCTGTAGTTGCTTCCATAAGTTGCTTTTCTTGATCTGTAAACTATGGGATATGAAGCAGCAGGAAGTTAAAAAAAAAAGACTAAAAATTAAAAAGGAGTAAGTAACCAAGAAAGTACATTTAAAACCACATTACCATATCTGTTACTCTGCTCCTTTCTAGGTTGATATCCAGTTTATTATCTGCTCTGATTCGACTGGTTTCATGCTTTCGGGAAAACAAAGAGATTTTTAAAATGATCTTGTAATGAATATTTGTTCTGAAATTAACAGCTAGGAAAAAAATTCACTTACCATTAGTTGTTGCTTAACTTGGTCTAGTTCAATTTTCATTTTCTAGGTACAAGAAAGATCACATGCAATTAGCATTAAACCAAGTCCATATTACGATTAAAAGAACCTGACACCCTAGATTACCAAAATTTGGACAATCTATGGATTTCTAATCAGAATTGATGAGAAAAAAATTTTCAAAAGAAACTAGTAAGTCACCATATTCAGAAAACAATTCTTATGAACAAAATGCATTTGTTTTTATATTATACTTTTAAAAACTGATTTTCTAAATTTAAAAATAAGCTATAGTGGATAACGTAACTTGAAATTCTGACTTAATTACAGAAATATACTTTTAAGTCACAAAGACATTTAATACTTAAATGTCTTTGATTAAATAAAAGTGAAAATGCCACATTACTCTCAGCTCTGAAACCATTATATAACAATTTTATATAATATATATAGTTCAAAGATTTTCTCTTTTATGTGATTTTATATGTATAAAATTTAACTCATTCTCTTCAGTATGTAAAGCATTATGATTTATATAGAAAAAAATTAGGTATGGTAAAATAAATGCTATATTTTTAAATCTATTTATTGTTTGCTAACCACATGGAATTATTATTTGGTCTTATGAACCTATTCACTAAGTAGGATGCTTATTATGAGATCAGTATTTTATGAGTAATAGATTAAAATTTGTATCACCTCATTCTCAGCTCTCAGATTTGCGAATTCACTTTTCTCTAGGATGACCATGTCTTTCCTGATAGAGTCCAAATGAGCCATTAGCTGTTGTACTGTTATTTCCTAGAAAACAAAATAAAAATAACCTAGTGATCTATAGAAAGCCATCTTTTTATTTTGCATTGTTTTCATGAAATTTAAATGAGACATGCTACAAGGTATAATGTTGATTGGTTAAGCAAATATGAAACCTACGTATCTAAAATATCAAAATGAGAAAAAATGTATTTCCTAGTGAAGAGAGACAAATGTGCAGGTGTTTGAATGAAAAGAATCTCAATAAAATGCTTCCTTAGACCCTAAGAGTTCCTCAAAAAGATAATGTTTTGTTCTTGTTTTTTGAATACTCAAATGGGAAGCGTTTTCTCTCTTATTATTTTGATTTTGAGAGATTTTTCTACCACTGGAAAATTCCATGTAGCAGATACGACTCAGAAGTCAGGTAGTAAAAAAACAGATGTATAGTTAAATAATTGCTGTCTGTCAGCACAACATAATTTTGTTTAAATTCTTGGGTAGCTTCCTTATATTTGGCACTACAAAGAATATATGAAAGACAAGGTGGCCCTTACCTGATAGATTTATAAACTTTTGCTTTGTTAGGGAGGGACAATTTTGCAGAAATGATTTAAGGCAGCCTTACAAAGAAAATACAACTGTTATAAGTCAAATATCCCTATCCAAAAATCTTGAAATACAAAATCCGAAACTTTTTGAGTGCCAACATGACACGCAAAGGAAATGCTCATTGGAGTATTTTGGATTTCAGATTTGGGATGCTCAGCTGGTAAGTGTAATGCAAATATTAAAAAAAAAAAAAATCAAATCTGAAAGACTTCTGGTGCAAAGCATTTCAGATAAGGGATATTCAGCCTGTAGCACTGAACTTCTTAAAATTAGGTAGCTTGCTAATTTATCTATCCTTTACCAAAAGAAAAAGCCAATGAGGGAATAACCTTGATAAGGACTCTGTATAATAGTTTAGAAATAAAACAAGAAAGCCCAAAAAAGATTGGGGGTTCTGGAGTCAGGCTGTCTATGTTTGAATCCAAACTCTGCCATTTGCTGTGAGATGCTAGCAAATCATTGAATTTTTCTGGTCTACTCACTGATAAAATGGAAATAGTAACAGTACCTGCTACATGTTAAAGAGTTGTTTTGAGGATTAAATGAGGTAATGTATGTATAATGCTTAAAAGAGTACTTGGCACTTGGTTAGCAATGAAACGTTAGCTATTATTATTACCGATGGGACAGAGATCTAATGGCCGAAGCAGGATAGTCTAATGCTAATGTATTAATGTGGAGGAAGTTTGGACTTCTTATCATAATAGATAAAAGTTTTTAACTCTGTACAACAGACATTTCTGACTCATGCCTTTTCTAACCCTCATGTATTACTGACGAGGGGTGTTCATTTTCATTTATTCAGTTCTGCTTGACATATGTATGAGAATTAATTCAGAAGTCACACAGATAAGTGGTCTCTAGGGGCTGGCAGTCCTGTTTGCCCCAAGTATCATTATAAAGGAATTATACATTAAAAATAATGTATTGTTATTACTGAGATTACATAGGCAAAAGCTGGAAAGCTAAGTAAAGACTTCTTATGGAGTCTCAACCTGAAAATAAGTGATTGTATTGTGGTTCTTTTTTTTTTTTTTTTTTGGGAGACAGAGCCTTGCTCTGTTGCCCAGGTTGGAGCACAGTGGGGTGATCTTGGCTCACTGCAGCCTCCACTTCCTGGGTTTAAGCGATTTTCAAGCCTCCCAAGTAACTGGAACCACAAGCACCCACCACCATGCCCAGCTAATTTTTTTTGCATTTTTAGTAGAGACAGAGTTTTGCCGTGTTGGCCAGGCTGGTCTCGAACTCCTGACCTCAAGTGATCTGCTCACCTCAGCGTCCCAAAGTTCTGGGATTACAGGTGTGAGCCACCACACCCGGCCCTACTGTGGCTCTTAAAAGCCTCTTTTTACCTCATTCTTCCTTTAAATACAGGCTCAAAAAGCCTACAAAACAGCACAGGTGTCCACCTTTAATAACTTTAAATGTAAAGACATAATCCACTGTTCAGTAGCCAAATTTATTAAAAGTGATTTTTGTAACTATGGAGCCATCAAAGAATATTCAGAGTTTAATCAAATTCACAATATAATCAAATTCTCAGAATAAAAAGACTTCATTACTTTATTTTCTTTTTTCCCCTCATCCTGCTAGCTGACTTGGTTTCATATGGCCCACTCTGAAGTGATCAAGTATGCAGCTTGATGGCCTGATGGTCCTGAGCCTTAGCTCCACCCTTCATGACATCTCTGTGCCTTATTCTATACTAGAGGTGAGGTCAGCAATGGAATTAGATACAAGAACGGAACAGGATTTTTAACTTCACACACCAGTAATAAAAAAGCCAAAAGTATAATAGTAATATTTTTATGCCCAGTCCTACCCCTTGTATATAGGATTAAATGGTCCTAGCAGCACAAAGATTCCTCAAATCACAGCTTTATTTCATGCTTTATAGGTAAACTTAAAAAAACAATTACTTTCTTAAAAATATCAGTAGCTCCATATAGCTCTTTCCAGACAGTTCAGAGTGTGGAGTAACTAATTAAATGTTTGGCTTTTTCTTTAGTGGACTTTAGTCTGTTATGATCTTAAATACTAGCTAAAAAATGTATGTACAAACTTAAAGGGAAGTTGAATGTAGGGGGTTGAATGTTTCAATTTTAAATGTCTAATTAATTGGACATTTGTCTACTATAATTGGAGATTATAGTTTTTAAAAAAATTTTTTTGAGATAGAGTCTCAGTCTGTCACCCAGGCTGGAGTGCAGTGGTGCAATTTTGGCTCACTGCAACCTCCGCCTCCCCAGTTCAAGCGATTCTTCTGCCTCAGCCTCCCAAGTAGCTGGGATTACAGGTACCCACCACCATGCCCAGCTAATTTTTTGTATTTCTTTTTTTTTTAAGTAGAGACAGGGTTTCACCATGTTGGCCAGGCTGGTCTTGAACTCCTGACCTCAAGTGATCTGCCCACCTTGGCTTCCCCAAGTGCTGGGATTACAGGTGTGAGCCACAGCACCTCTTTAAAAATCTTTTGATCTACTGTGACCCTTATAGTAATGAAATTTTATGCAAGAGATTCTAGTTTTATATAAGAAATCCTGATTTTTCTCTCTGTGCTGTAAACTACTTATCTGAGGAAGGAAGCCTAAATTAAAAAAATTAAAATTCAAAAAATATAACCATAGGAAGAAAACAGATTCTTAAACATAATACATTATTTCATGACTGACAAATGAATTATTATTCCAGTTAAATTCATTTAGTTTATTCAATCCTTTATGTAAAATTACTGCTTTTTGTCCATATCACCACAGTGAAAACTCTTGCAAACTACTTAATCTCTCTGAGTGTGTCTTCAGTGGCCAGTGGCCAGATAGAATTCTGCCTACTTTTCAAGGTTGTTAGAGATTAAATCATATACGAAAAGTACCCAGCACTGTGCCTTTTACATGTTAAATTCTTATATTTGACTTTAAAGAATTTTATATTCAGTCAAATTAAAGCATCTTAGCTAGGTAATTTATGAAGTCCTTCCCAGCCATGTAAGTCCTTTCCAACTAGGCCTGTGAAAATTAACCAATACATTTGTAAGGCAGCAATAAAATATACTTAATATATAGAAAGATTAGCTCTTTTACTGTGGTGAGCTTTCTAGAGGGAAAAAGTTGTTTCACTAACAATCCATGAATAACCACCCATGAATAACACAATATAATGATCTCATCAAAATTTGGCAAAATACCATTCTCTTTGTTATCACAATATTATTACAACTATTCTAACTATTCAGTCTCTAAATATTGACTTTATTCTTTTTTTTTTTTTATGGTCCCTTTAGAGAGAACAAGGAAGATAGGAGCATGTTTGGAAGGTCAGTAGGTAGCCAGAGACGTAGTTATGAAATGATTGTCTAATGAAACGATCAGAAGTGATAATAATCAGTGTATTACCTGTTGAGCTTGAGTGACCATTTCTTTATAGATAGTATCCAGGCTGACATTTGATAAAGTAGTTAATGCTGATACAATTGTTTCTGCTTGTGTTTTGTCAAATCCTGTAGGCAGCAAATAGGTATTTTATTTTATTTTTTTAAAGTGCATATCCTCATCAAAATAGACACCTAGAGTAACTCCTCAACATTTAAATTGTTATATACTTTTTAAAAAAATGGTTACAATTAAAAATTTGAGAGATAATGCTAAATTACTCTCTAAAAGTACTCTACAATTTTAATCCCATTGACACTGGATATTACTTTTTTTTGAGTGTATAATTGGCAATAAAAATGGTATTATTATGTTAATGTTACTTAAATTTGCATTTCTTTGGTTGGTAGTGAGGTTAAGCATTACATAGACTTTTTGTTATTTATGTTTGTTTTTCTGTGTTCTGCTTGTTTATAGCATTTGCCCTTTTTTCTGTAAAACTGCTTATTCTTTTACATTTAACTTTTTATCTATCTGAAATTTAGTTTCATTTTAAGGGGATCTAGTATATTTTTTTCCAATGGCTACTCGATTGTTATATCTCATTTAATAAATAGTCCTTCCTTTCCCTAATTTGTAATGCCTTCATCACATATTAAATTCATGTCTGTGTCTCTATGAATACCATTTTGTTCTATTAGCCTATTCCTGTAATATCACATAATTTAAATTACTGTTTTGAAACCAGGTAATTTTTTTGTGCATATTTTCTGCTTTTTTAATCTCAAACAATTGTTCCACTTTAGTATCAGCCTAGAAACTCAAGTTTTCTTCTTTTTCACTTATTTGGAATCATTTTGCACATATTTCATATGCTTTTTCCAATTAACGTATCTTGAACACTCCCCATATCAGTAAATGTTTTTCAAGCAATATCATTTTTAATGATTATAAAATATTTAATTGTATGGATGGCAAGGTCTATTTAGTTACTCTTAATTGTTCATAATAGTGATACTGTCTTGACTAGGCAATTATTATGAATGCTATTAATTTTCTTCTTTCAAGAGGTATCCATGTTTCTTACCATGAGTTTCCAAGTCCTGAACCAATGCATGGGTATCAAAAGTTAATTTCCTTTGTTCTAAAGGAGTTATGTCCACTGGCCGCCTATCATATCCCTCTTTGGTTGTGGTAGTGAAGAAGTCTGAAAAGAGAAGACATTTATTTTCTCTCGTAGTAGCTGATACAGGTATCATATTTTAGCTTACAAAGCATTTTCCCCATCCATTTATAATAAAGTTCCGGCTCTTCTAGTTTTGTCATCTCACCCAAGTTAATTGACTCCTTTGAGCCTCTCTTTTATCTGAAAAGTCTGACGTTTTTCTGCACATACCAAACATTCAATGGATTTTTTTTCCCTCCTTCAGTATTCAAAAATGTTAAGAGTTGGTCTAAAATTGTAATAAAACACACATCAAATGCTTTGGATATCACCACCTCAGCTCTAATTACTGAAGAGCAGAAACTGCTCAATTCAGCTATTCTGTGTGCTCAGTAACAGTCTTCCAAAGAGCTATGAAAATTTTTTACACTTATATCTCTATTTAAAGTAGCTTTCCATACTCCCACTCACTTATATGTCCACAGTTTATTTCCTACATAGTTGTCAGCTCCAAAATGAAATTATCTTGCTTGCTGTTTGTTTCTTTGTACCAGAATATAAGCTCCATGATGATCTGACTGATTTTCACTACTGTATCTTTAGCACCTAGAACAGTGCTTTGGCACATAGTTGGGTCACAAACTTTTACTGCTGATTCAATCAATGAATTTGATTTGAAATCATGGGCGTATTTACTGGTATCAACATAAGAGCTCTAGGAGCAATTTCTCATTTCTGAAATAACCCTTCTTGTCCTATTTCAATAAATTCCCCAAGTTTTAACCTAGACACAGTAAAGACCTTTTTTATATATTGCTGATGAATTTATTATAAGGTGCTCTGCCCATAAACAACTTCTAGGAAAGGTAAAGGGGTTTGCCTAAGGTCACAAAGCCAATGGCAGAATTAGGATTCAGACTCATGTTCTTCTAAACAAATCTTACATTCTTTCCATCACTCCATGCTGTCTCATTTATCCCAAACCACCTAAAATATCTAAGTATTTAAAAGACTGCAACTTCAGGCATTACTTTTCCACTGGTACTGTGTAGGACAAATGTGATTACTTTCTTACATCCCTCTAGCCTAATAAATATTTGTTGAGTGCTAAAACTTGTGCCAGGCACAAAGGATAAAATGTTAAGCAAAACCAGACACGAATGATGTTCTCACTGATTTTATAGACCAGAGGCAGGAAACAGATACTCTTTTTTTAAAAAATCTAAGAATAAACTCTAAATTCAAATGATAAAAGATATTCATACTCCAAAAATTTTTACTTAAGAGATAAAAGCAAGTAGCTATAAATAAAGGTAGAGCAGTTTTTTAAAACACACACACATATTAGCACGCTGGTCACTAATCTTTTTCACTTGAATGTCATCTAGAAGGGTAATGAAACATGCCTTTGTATGTCACTGTCAGACCTAAGGTAGGAGAGAAAAAGAAAAATTAGATGAAAAAGGGGCAGTTTTCAATAGTTTCAGTAACAAGTGCATTAAGAGTAATGATGGTACTTTTAGTTATGTATCCCTGATTAGAAGTTTATTTGGATTTAGAAAAAAAATCAGTAATAATATTTATATAATATTTTACTGTTTTCATATCCCATTACCCCATCCTTAAAATTCTCATTTTATGGATGAGGCAAATTGAGGCTCAGGGTTAAGTATGGATGCTCCTCAGCTTATAAAAGTGTTATGTCCCAATAAATTCATCATAAGTTGAAAATATCCTAAGCTGAAAATGCATTTAATATACCTAACCTACTGAACATCACAGCTTAGCCTGGCTTACCCAAGCACACTGAGAACACTTACATTAGCCTATAATTGGCCAAAATAATCTAACACAAAGCCTATTTTATAATCAAATGTTGAATATTTCATGTAGACACCCAGATGGGCACTTTATAAACATGACAGGATGCAAAAACAAAACCCAAAAAACCCTGGCAATACTAAGCATTGGTTGTTTGCCCTTGTGATCCATGGCTGAGTGGGAGCTGCGGCTTGCTGCCCCTGCTTAGTATTGCATGAATACTACATTACTGCTAGCCTAGGAAAGGATCAAAATTCAAAGTACAGTTTCTACTGAATGCATACTGTATTTGCACCACAGTAAAGTTGAAAATTTTTAAGTTAAACCATCCTGAGGACAGTCTATAATTAGTTTGCAATCTTATGGTCTCATAGCTAGGCAGATTAGTACAGTTCCTCTGACTTAGTCAAGAAACACTCTGAATACCTTGCACAAAGAGCGGCTTCCTACTAAATTTTGGATAGAAACCAAATACCTTAACAAGCCAATAAATTTCTGTAGGGTACAGCTCCTTTCATGTCCTACTATGCTCTCTGGCCCTCTGCTTTCAAGGGGTCTTTGATTTTAATTCCACGAACGTGCCATGTGCTTTCCCTTCTCAGGGCCTTTGCCCAGCCCCTGCTCTGTTCAGAAAGCTCTCCTTTTCTCTGCCTGCTCCTGTTTATCTTTCAGAGCCCAGTCTGAATGTTTCTTCCTCTAGAAAGCCTGATAACTCCTTTAGGTTAGGTCTCTCTCGTGATGGTTTTTCATAGTACTGCAAAGTATTCTTTTGCAAACCTTCTCACAATTTACACATTTATGTGACTCTCAGTTGTCTCCGCAAGAGACCAGTGGTCAGCCAACTACAGCCCAGAGACTATGTTTTTTTTTTTTTTTTTTTTTTTTTTTAAATAAAGATGAGGCTTCACCATGATGGCCAGGCTGGTCTTGAACTCCTGACCTCAGGTGATCCACCCACCTCGGCCTCCCAAAGTGCTAGGATTACAGGCATAAGCCACCGCGCCCGGCGACTATGTTTTTCTAGTTGTATTCCTTAGAACTAGCTTTATTAGAACATTACTCATTCATTTATGGATTAATCTATGGCAACTTTCACACTGCAGTGGCAGTGAATAGTTATGACTGAACTTACAGCCCACAAAGCCTAAAATATTTATTATTAGGCTCTGCAGAGAAAAAGTTTGTCAACCCCTGCACTAAACTATACAGTCCTTGAGAGCAGGGACCACATCTGTTCTTGCTCACTTGAATTCCCAGTGCCTGCACAATTCTGGATGCTCCATTGATAAGATATCTGCTGAATGAAAGGCACTGTGCTTGGCATTATGTATACACAATGAATACAAAGGAGAGGCAGCTGGTCCTCCTTGAGAATAAAGGATCAAGAGTTGGCTATTTGGATGATGGTAGGGCTACATTAAATCTTAGAGAAGCTACCCAGACAGGATCAATGAGCAATATCAAGGCATGGGCAGCCTTTGTTATTCACTTGCTTTTATTTATTATGGGCCTAGGGAGAGCTGAGAATACAGAAGGATATGTAGAACATTATTCTATATATGTGCTCAAATATTCACATATCTTGCTTAGTCCTACTAATCCTATGAGGTAGGTATTGACACCCAATGGCAGAATAACTTGGGGTTTCAGTCCACTTTGGAAGCCATAAGGAACTGAAAAAACCACTGGATATTCATAGGAGGGCGTCATAATCACTATTCCAGCTGTGTCATGAGCATGCATAAGCACTCATTAAGAATGTCTTTGCAGGCTGGGTGCAGTGGCTCGCACCTGTAATCCTAGCACTTTGGGAAGCCAAGGCAAGCGGATCACTTGAGCCCAGGAGTTCGAGATCAGCCTGGGCAACATGGCAAGATCCTGTCCCTACAAAAATTATAAAAATTAGCTGGGCATGGTGGTGTGTGCCTGTAGTCCCAGCCACTTGGGATGCTGAAGTGGGAAGATCACCTGAGCCTGGGACGCAGAGGCTGTAGTGAGCCAAGATGGCACCAATGCACACCAGCCTGGGTGACAAGACCCTGTCTCAAAAAAAAAAAAAAAAAAAAATTAAAAAAGAATATTTGCAGTCGTTATTAATAGGTAGGCGAGATAAGTGCTCACAATCAGTGTTTCAAGCTCAAGGTGGAATAACAGATCCTTAATAACTTGAAAAGTTTTGCATAGACTTAAACATATGTACAAAATCCCAAACTTTCCCTTTCATTGTTACTTCTTTTGATTCTTTGATATCTATCTTGTGGATTTGTTTGTTTATAATAGTGAGATTGTTTATTTATAATAGTGAGATACAAACTCAGTTTAAAGGTTTAACCAGCTTCATATGGATTTGTTTGTTTATAATAGTGAGATTGTTTATTTATAATAGTGAGATACAAACTCAGTTTAAAGGTTTAACCAGCTTCATAAAACTACTAAGTCATAGACTGCTGACTGGAACTCTGGCCTATCTTGCACCAAGCTCCTCTTTGCTGGAAAAGGTCAAATTTTACTTTTGAAAAAATAAATAATAACAAAAAAGAGATGTAAAATGTTGTCCCATTAAATATAAGCTGCAAGTTTTAGTTTACTAATTTTACAGCTGAAACACTTCAGTGTATAGCCAGTTATTTTTCAGTCAGGAACTCAAAAGAACAGGCATTACAGTGTATATTCTTACATGCTGGTCTACTAACTTGCTAGACTAATTGCATTAGAATAACTAAGTCCTTCCATTGGTCATAGGTCAAGGTTTTCAGATCCGTTGTATTGACATTATTAGGCAAGTTTAAACTACTTGTATACAATAAACATTCAATATTTGTTTAGTGAGGAGGGACACTTCCTATTAGTTGTAAGAAGAGGTTTAAGGTTTCTCCAAGAATACTCGGATTCAAGTGGGATAACTTTTATGTAAAACATTAACATTTACTTATGGTAATGTGTTTCCCAGTATGATATTCACTTCAAAGTTCATTCTCTAAAAATGTTTAATTTTGTTTTCATTTGGATATGTAAATGAAGTACGCCTGTAAAAGTCAACAAAGATGACAGTTGGATGGTTTCTTGGAGTTCAAAAGTGCAACATACTTTTTGTAAAATCCATCATAATGTGTATGGTAAACACCAAAATACCTAACGAGAGAGACCTTGTGAATGACCCTGGCACTGCAGCTGTTACTGGTGTGGAGTAAAATGAAACAGTGAGCAAAATAGCACAAGTAACAGTGTGGAGCATAAATAACAGCATGGACGTGTTTGGGTACTGAATGGCTTTGTGTGCCTGGCACTGAAGATTCAAGAAGGTGAACAGAGAATGCTAAGATTGGTATGAGGTGTCTACTTGTCTATTTTGTGGACAACCTTAAAAAAGTTTAAAAATTGGGAGGGAAGTTTAAAAACTAGGGGTGAAAAACAACGACAACAAAACCTAGCCCTAGAAACATTTCTCAGAATAAAGTCAGGTATCTTCAAAACACTCTGTTAACAGAGGTGCCAACCGGTTGGAAACTTGTAGGTTCAGTATTTTTTTTTTTCCCCTCAAAGTCTACAGTGTGACTGAACATACTGAGAATTCCAACGAGAATAAGGCAGACGTGACCTGAAACTTATGATTTAAAAACCTGGGCTGAAGGCCAGCACCTAAACAATCTAAATTTGAACAGGCCATAAAAGAAATCCGGACACCCTCAAACACAGATTACCTTACTCTGGCTCCTGACAAACCTACAAGCTTCAAAAAAGGGAAACATGGGCTGAGAAAGAAGCCGGACGCGAAGCCCAGGCCTTCAAAGGCTCGCTCTAAGAAGACAAAGGCGGTGCTTTCCTCAGTCCTCGCCCCTTGGGGCGAGCTGGGCAAGTTGGGGCAGCCGGCAGTGGCGTTGCCAGCACAAGGCGTGAGTAGGGGAGGAGGGCGTGGCAGCTTCTCGGGTTCGCTAGAGCAGGCGCGACCCTCGGTCGTCGTCTCCCTAGAGAGCACTCAGGCATCTATGACACGACGCCTTGCCTCACCTCTCCGCAGGGCCGGCGAGAAATGCCCGCGGGGGCTTGAAACCCAACGATCCTCGCTGCCTTGGGAAAGCAAGAACCGCCAAGCCCGGCGACGACTCATGTCCTCAGAGTTTTCCGGTGGGCGGGAGGCGGAAGACCGGTTTACTCTCTCACAGGCTTTAGGGAAAGGTAGTTCTGGCCCCTCAGGAATGCTGGGAATTGTAGTTTTCGGTCGGTCCCAAGACCACCTTCCAGTGCGGGCGCCTCTGTGGTGCCACGAAACTGGGTCTCCTCACAAATCCACAGTTCATGAGCATGGCTCAGCGCTGCCCCGCTTCTCCCACAGCCCCTTCCAGACCTGTGAACTCCTTTACCGCCTTAGTAAAGCGGGATCTTGTTGGAGAACCTTCTGGCGCCTATTTCCTGGCAGTGGGGCATAGTCCAACAGCAGGCTCCCCCAAGATAGCCAGCGGCCATTACGCGCTAGGGTCGGCGGAGTTGGAGTCCTATTTGGCCGCACAGCAGCCTGGGTCCTGAAGTCCGCGGCCGCTGAGCATTCTGGGTGACCGTACACTGCGGGGTGCCAACGAAACCTTCTGGAAAGTGTACTCCAGCGAGCCGTTCATTTATCAGACAGCGTCACATCCAGCTGCTTCGCCCTCTGGTGCACGGGAGGACCAACTATTTTAGTTGGTATGTCCTTTCTTTAGCGAAGCTGAATTCTTCTGTTTCTAGGAGAAATTCTTTGAATTTTCATCAGTAATCCCTCTCAGATTTGTTACTCAAGACTTTGCTCCGCATAGTAAAATGCTGAAAGCAACAATGCACAGAAGTTGTGTTAAAATGCGCTAATGTACATAAATATTCTCTGTAAGTCCTACAATGATACACAGTTGTGGGGTTTTAGTGGCTTATTCTGGCTAGGTTTCTATCTGTATGTATTCAAAACTTTGTGAGAGTCGGCTAAGTCCCCAACACCATTTCTAAGCCCTGAGGCACATCGAAAACAAAACTTGAGTCCCTCCAACAAGGGGTTTAACAGACAATTCATGAAGAGGAAATATAAATTGCTATTTAAAACATTGGAAGGCAGGGCACAGTGGCTCATGCCTGTAATCCCAGCACTTTGGGAGGCTGAGGCAGGCGGATCACCTAGGGTCGGGGGTTTGAGACCAGCCTGACTAACATGGAGAACCTCTTTCTCTGTTAAAAATACAAAATTAGCAGGATGTGGTGGCACATGCCTATAATTCCAGCTACTCAGGAGGCTGAGGCAGGAGAATCGCTTGAACCCAGGAGGTAGAGGTTGCAGAGAGCTGAGATCGGGCCATTGCACTCCAGCCTGGGCAACGAGAGCGAAATTCTGTCTCATCACCACCACCACTACCACCACCACCACTACTATTGAGAAAAAAGTTTAATCTCACCAGTCTGAAGAAACAAAAAGCAAAATCTTAGGCCTGGGGGGTCCCAATGATCCCAGCAGAATGTAAGCATAGTACTCAACAGGTGCTTCTTCAGCCCATAGCCCTCTGTCCCCTTCCCCCTTTCCCCATCTAATGATCTGCAGTGTTTATTGTTCCCATCTTTATCATCATATATTCAATATTTAGGCTTTACTTATAAGTGACAACATGTGTATTTGGTTTTCTTTTCTTGCGTTAGGTTGCTAGCATAATGGCCTCCAGCTCCATCCATGTTGCTGCAAAAAGCATAATTATCTTATTTTTATGACTGCGTAGTATTCTATGGTGTATATGTACCACATTTTCTTTATCCAGTACACTGTTGATGGGCACTTAGGTTGACTTCACGTCCTTGCTATCATGAATGACACTACAATGAACATACCATTGCATGTGTCTTTTTTTTTTTTTTTTTTTTTTTTTGTCTTGAGACAGGATTTTGCTCTGTCACCCAGGCTGGAGTGCTGTGGTGCATGGCTCCCTGCAGCCTCAGCTTCCTGGGCTTAATTGATCCTTTTGCCTTAGCCTTCTAGGTAGCTGTGACTACAGGTGTGCACTACCACAACTGGCTAATTTTTGTATGTTTTGTAGATATGGGGTCTTGGCATGTTGTCCAGGTTGGTCCAGAACTCCTGAGCTCAAGCTATCCACCCACCTAGGCCTCCTAAAGTGCTGGGGTTACAGGCATGAGCCTCATGCCCAGCTCTGTGCTTTTTGATGGAATGAATTATTTTCCTTTGGGCATGTACCCATTAGTGGGGTTGCTGGGTTGAATGGTGGTTCTATTTTAAGTTCTTTGAGAAATCTCCCAACTGCTCTCCATAGTGGCTCAACTAGTTTGCATTGCCATCAATAGAGTATAAGCATTCCCTTTTCTTCACAGGCTAGCCAATATGTGGGGTTTTTCTTTCTTAACAATTGCCATTCAGATGGGTGTGAGTTGCCATCTCATTGTGGTTTTGATTCAGATCTCTCATGTTTAGTCGTATTGAACGTTGTTTCCTATGTTTGTTGGCTATTTGTATGTCTTCTTTTGAGAAGTGTCTGTTCATGTCCTTTGCCCATTTTTTAATTGGATTGTTTTTTTCCTTCTTGATTTAAGTTCCTTGTAGATCCTGGATGTTAGAACTTTGTCAGATGCATGCTTTGCAAATATTTTCTCCCATTCTATAGGCTATCTATTTACTCTGTTGGTAATTTCTTTTGCTGTGCAGAAGCTCTTTAGTTTAATTAGGTCCCACTTGTTAATTTTATTTTTGTTGTAATTGCTGTTGGGGGCTTAGCCATAAATTCTTTGCCAAAGCCTATGTTGAGGAGGGTATTTCCCAGTTTTTTTTTTCCCTAGGATTTTTGTAGTTTGAGGTATAACTTTTACATCTTTAATCCAGCTTGAGTTAATTTTTGTATATTGTGAGCGGTAGGAGTCTAGTTTTAGTCTTCTGCATATGACTAGCCAGTTATCCCAACACCATTTATTGAATAGGTAATGCTTTCTGTGTTGCTTATGTTTGTTGATTTTGTCAAAGACCAGATGGTTTTAGGTGTGTGGATTTATTTCTGGGTTCTCTATTCTGTTCCACTGGTCTATGTGTCTGTTTTTGTACCACTACCATGCTGTTTTGATTACTTTTTTTTTATGGCTGACAAGATCAAAGGGGCTTTTATAAATTCTTGCTTAGGATTGTTTTGACTATTCAGGCTTTTTTGGTTCCAAATGAATTTTAGAATAGTTTTTTCTAGTCTTTTAAAAACGATGTTGGTATTTTGATAAGGATAGCATTGAATCTGTAAATTGCTTTGGATAGTGTGGCCATTTTGACTTTACAGATTCATCCAACCCATGAGCATGGAATATTTCTCCATTTATTTGTGTTATCTCTGAATTCTTTCAGTAGTGTTTTGTACTTCTCCTTGCAGAGATCTTTCACCTCCTTGGTTAGATGATCCTGGATATTCCATTTTCTTTGTACCTACTGTAAATGGGATTGTGTTCTTGATTTGGTTATCAGCTAGAACATTATTGGTGTATAAAAACGCTACTGATTTTTTATACATTGATTTTGTATCCTAAGACTTTACTGAATTTATTTATCAGTTCCAGGGACCTTTGGGAGAGTCTTTAGGGTTTTCTAGGTATAGAATCATATTGTTGGCAAAGATAATTAGTTTACTTTCCTCTCTTCCTACGTGAATATCTTTATTTCTTTCTCTTGCCTGATTGCCCTGTAAGTACTGTGTTGAATAAAAGTGGTGAAAATGGGCATCCTTTTCTTGTTCCAGTTCTCAAGGGGAATGTGCTTCCAGTTTTGGCCTATAGCAATTTAGTAATGTAAATGAAACTCCAAAAAGTGAATAACCAGAGTTTCACTTTTTTTTCTTTTTTTTGAGGTGGAGTCTTGCTCTATCACCCAGGCTGGAGTGCAGTGGCGCCATCCCAGCCCACTGCAACCTCTGCCTCCCAGGTTCAAGTGATTCTCCTGCCTCAGCCTCCTGAGTAGCTGGGATTACAGGTGCATGCCACCACGCCTGGCTAATTTTTGTATTTTTAGTAGAGATGGGGTTTTACCATGTTGGCCAGGCTGGTTGTGAACTCCCAACCTCAGGTGATTCTCCCGTCTCAGCCTCCCAAAGTGCTGGGATTACAGGCATGAGCCACTATGCCAGGCCTAGAGTTTCACTTTAAGAATCTATCCAAAGGAAATAATCACATCTGTAGCTAAGATTTTTGAAGAGGGTGGCTATTGCAATGTTATTTATAGTAGTGAAAAATGGAAAATAGTCTAAATATTCAAAAGTGATTAAATAACTTGCAGAAGTGTCCCAATTTGGAATATTATGCAAGAATTAAGTATTTTTAAAAATAATCTTAGAGACAGGAAAATCCTTGTACATGTATATACATAATTATAATTCTGTATAATTCTTATTACATGATTATAATTATAATTTTATACATTATGATTATAGCTTTAGTTATATACATGATTATAATTCTGTTAAATGATAAGATCCCTGCTCTGGAGGAGCTCACAGGTACTGGAAGATACAGACCCGTAAGTGGTAGCACAATATTTTACATAAATTAAGTAATTATTATTAAAAAAAATGGATCTCTTTATAAATTAATATATGTCACTTATTATTTATATTATCATAAAGCCGTCTCCCTGACACACATACACAGTGTTGATTATCAAAATTGGGCCAATCGTGTTCTCTTTGATGGAACTGGCAATTATATTCAGGGATTCTTAATCATCCTCTGAAGCTGGCTAGAACTATATCAAGTGAGTGCAGGAGTTGGGGCATCCATAATCTACCAAGTGGGCCAGAGAAGTGTAGGAAGGAAAAGCAGGAATAGCAGATGAAGTAAGTCCAGATAGTATTCAGCTAATAGATACAGCTCCTCTCTGAGACCCCCTAATGGTTCCTGTGTATTTTCGGATTCTCCATTGTTGTTATTATTTATGAGCTAAACATCTTAATTTATAAAAATATTTTTTCATAAGTTTGTTAATATTTTCTCATATGCTTTTTGAGAGAAATAGAGGAGATGATGCATATAAAACTCTTAGCACTGGACCTGACACATACAAGCACCCAATAAACAGTAATAATGTCTGCTTACTCAACGTTAGGAAATAATTTCCATGAGTCTCTCATGTTTCTGTATGTCTTGTAAATGGAGGTCTTCTCTGCCTTTTGTTGTGGCAGTTTTGTATAATGAACAACCTTAGGAAATATAGTGTCTGTCTCTGGAGCAAAAGGCCTCATGCTTACTGCCTATTACAAAAGATTTGTGCTCTCATAGGTTGGAGTTCCTCTCTGTAATGTAATGCACTGCACACACTTAGGCATCTACTTAGCCTTAGCTGCGTCATCCCCATGGAACTTGGGGCCAAGAGGACCTGACACAAATATGCTGATGCTTGTGCTGCTTGCTGAACCATCTTTGTTTCTAGCAGGGAGTCTCATGTCTTCTACGAGCATGCATGCAACAATGACAGGATAACTTGATAGCTTGC